GCAGAATTGGGCCTGCCCACCCGTGCGCACGGCGCAGGTGAAGTAGTCAGAGAAGATCTCCAAGGTACATCGAAATCAAATGTGCACAATCCCCCCCTCTGCAACGCACACAGCTCACAATGCTCACAATGCCACTGCACAGGCGGACCCCGTTGGTGATCCACTTCTTGTTGCCGTTGACGATGTAGAAATCACCCTCCCGAACTGCAGTGGTCCTGTAACACTGCCACCCAAAATCACCCAAATCTAACAAGAAAACAGGAGTGTGGGCGGAGAAAAGGCGGGGCACTTGATGGCTGCGACATCGCTGCCCGCGGATGGCTCCGTGATGTTAAGAGAGATGATCTTCCTCCTAGGAGTTTAAAAGAACGGGCATAAAACTAAGAGACTCTGCATAAAGCTGATCGGCACAAAGCCAGGTCAAGTCTGAGCGGCCCCATCAGGCAATCCGGCGCCTCGAGAAAATAATAACTTTCGGAGACTTCGATGACTTTGCTCGGCTTGAGCTTTCTGCTCTTTCTACTTTTTCTATCTTTCTTGCGGTATCTTGGGCTTCGGCCACGCGCTTCTTCATTTCCTCCGTGCCGAAGTTCAGCACAGGCGGAAGCCCGATTTGGAGGCCCTTCAAGACACGAAAGCTTCCCCAAAGCTTCGAAATCAGAGGTTCGATGCCTCAATCAAGCCCCAGAGAACACCGCCGCTGCCGCACCTGTCTCTCTGACTGGTACTCTCTGCAGTGTGCTCTCCGAGTGCTCTCCGAGTGCTCCTCTTCTTGTTTCCTCTCTCCCTCTCTCTCCTTCTCTCGTGGCCTGGCAAGCTCATCCACAAAAATGAGCTCGTGGAAGTAGTCCAGGTCCTTGGCTCGTTTGTTGTTTCGTTTGTTTCGCTTGTTTCGTCTGAGTCGTCCTGCGGCGCATCCTTGGGCACCAGATCGAAGGCGCCGGAGCGGGCGCCCACAACCACGGGCAGCAGCCCAGCCTGCCCCCAGGAAACGGATGACCAAGCCACCTCCAATGACCCAATGACCCTGGCCTCTGCACACTGGACGTAGGTCTCCGGGGGCACTGCCTTTTTTACCTGCAGGGATTCCCACGGATTCCCCCGTGTCCGCGCCAGACTTGCAGAGTCTGGGCTGCCTCCCACTCACTCACAAAAGGCATGATGTGCTCCTCCACGAAGCTCCGGCACCTATCCACTCACCCACTTTATTGCTGCTCTCCTCCCAAATTGCAAGACTCAGCCTACTTGGGCCGACTTGAAGGAACACGTTGAACACCTTCAATACCAGAGACATGGGAACTCCAAGCCTGGCGCGCCAAGCCTCCAAAAAGGGCACAGTCCCTCCATTGCCCTCCGATATTTGCTCTGTCCTAGACATTTGCTATGCTCTCCTCTCCCCACGCCCTGTTTTTCAGTAGTCCATCTAAGTCCATCTCTCTTTCCGAAAGTTCGAGCCCTTTCGCCGGTATTGCCGGCATGGGCACACGAAATTAACTCTCATTGTTCTGCACGAGCACTCGCAATTTAAGGCTGCTCTCAATATCAGCAGGTGCAGCGGTGCGGGCCCGGAATTGGTCAACCGCAAACTCCCAGAGTCCTCTCTTTCTCGCCTTGCCTGTAAGGATTCAAACATGCTCCAAAAACGCTTTCTTATGCTTTCTTATCGGCTTTGAACCCAAGAAATTATGGATGCGCCTCACCTCGTCAGTCGTCCCCAATGCTCGCTATTGCCACTACTGCTAGGCACGATCGTGGACATTCCATCGATTGATTCGATCGCAATGAAGCACAAACTGGTGAAGCTGCTAGAGGGAAGCAACCGTCGAGGAGTTGATTGAGCGGCACAGGACTATCCACAGCACTGGCTTCACACCGAACCTGTGCGAGGCAATATCTACATGAAGGACGGCGATACTAAAGTTTCTAGACAGCAACTTTAAGCTGGCCGTCGTCCGTCATGCCTTGTGCGTCTCCTTGTAGTACGGGCTGTGGTAGGCCTGCGGCGCTCCGCAAAAGCTGCCCATCATGAACTTGTGTCGAGTAGTGTCGTTGACCACGTGCTGCAGCCCAATAATGCCAACTTGCCAAAGAACATGACGAGCTTCAAATCATTTCCTTTCCCCCTGGCGCACTTCGTTGTACCAGTTGGGATCTCCATAGGGATTTCCTGCACCGAAGCTCGCCATGGACCTCAACGAGACCGAACACAGGAACAACATGACATCCGCTCGCTGCGACAGCGATGTTGCCCAATCGCTGTCCAGGTTCACTGTACGAACGTGCTACAGACACTTGCGAGAGGAATCTTGACAGCTGGGCGGCCGCCAGAAACTCAAACTACCGCATCAACTCTCCGAAACAAACAGAAAGAGCTTGGTTGGTTTGCGTGGTTGACTCTCGCAACTCTGACTCTCACAACTCTGGAACCGAGGCCGAAACTTGAAAGCCGGGGAAGCGGATTGGACGGCTTGGACGGCGTGGGCAGCAGCTTGGACAGCTTGGACTTGCGCGTAACAAGCTCGAACCCTTCACCGGCAACGGCAGCGGCAGCTCAGGGAAGATGGTGTCAGAAAGAAGCACAACTAAGCACAGCAGAGACGGGGGCTTCGTCCAGCCTTCGGACAGCGCAGCAAACCGCAAAACACAACGAGCGCTTGCCAGGTTCGCCAGAAAGCTTGACTGGCCTTCGCTAAGTTGTGACAACAGTCTCACTGCACGTGGGGATGCCTTTTTTACATTTCAGAAGCGCAAGCTGCGAGCGCACGGAGGCTCATTGCCAGGAGCGTTACCTATACACTAAAGCTGAGAGAGGGTCGCGAAAGCCTTTCAGGTTGCGCAACAAAGCCGCGTGCCCTCGATGAGTTGGTGACTCTGCGGGCACATTGGGAGCAGAGCTCGCAGCTCGGAGCAGCTGGGAGCTCTACCTCTCTACACCTCTACCTCTGACTCTACCTCTGACTCTCGATTCTCTGAGATCTCAGAAAAGAAGAGATCACAAAGATATCACAAGAGATCACAGCTCTCAGTAGGGTGCAGCGCGCTCTGAGGGAGCTCCGTCCTTGATGGGCCCCGGCTCAGAAGTCCCCGGTGTGTTCCCGGGAGCCCCCGGAGCCCCCGGAGCCCCCGGAGCCCCGGGAGCCCCGGGAGCCCCACAGCAGGGCATCCCAGGCATGCAGCCTTACGACACAACATTTTAAAAACAATGGAGAGCGAGAGGGTCTAGTCACATTCCCTAGACCCTACACTGCCTACACATGCCTACACATGCTTGCTCGCGCCTGGCATGCAGCCCATCGGCATACCGCCCATGCCTCAGAAGTTCAAACATATTCAGACTTCTCCACATGCATCCTCCAAGTGCGTGAGCTTCTGAGCTTCTCTGCCCATCATTGGGCAGCCGCCCATGCACGGCATGCCTCAAGTGCCAGAAGCCCGCGACGCGTTTGCGCTGGGCACTGGAATGCATGACAGCGTGACGCTTGACAACATAAAGCTGCCCAGATCTGCCCAGATCTGCTCTGCCCAGATCTGCCCAGATCTGCCCAGATCTGCCCAGATCTGCCCAGATCTGCCCAGGTTCCCAGGTTCCCGAGTGCGCGGCCCATCATGGGACATCCCATGCCTGCATACAAGATACCGTGTGCCAGTAAGAACTTCTAAAATGAACCCTGGCAAATTAGGGATCCATGTGGCCGTTAGAAGATGCCATGACCACCGCCCTGCTGTCAAAATGAACCAACACCCTTTGTGGTATCTGATGAGCGTGCAATTAAGCACCTTAGCCCAACGTTAGGTTCATCCCTCATCGCCAGTTCTGCTTACCAAAAACTGCCCAGTTAAAGTTTTCGCTTCTCCCAGAAGTTCAATCAAGTAACCACCGTGGATCTTACCCATTGAAAGTTTGAGAATAGGTCAAAGACAACGACTGATTGCCCAAGATCGCTCCTGCCATGGGGCAGCCGCCGGGGCAAGTGCCGGGGCAGCCGGGACAGGCACCAGGGCAGGCGCCGGGGCACCCGCCAGGGCAGGCGCCAGGAGCCCCGGCTGCCGCCTCGCTTTTGTCCTGTGCTGAACACACTGTGCACGATTCCGTCTCGGTTTCGATGTCGACCCGAGCTATCCCCACAGAAGCAACTGACAAGTGCGAGCAGCCATAAGCGGATTCGGTATGAAAATGGCAATGTCACCAAGCTCGGCCAACCTGAGACTCACCTCCCGGCCATGCGGCAAAAACATGCAAAAACCTAGTCTTGGAGTCTTTGATCATCCCTAACCTCATCACAGAACGCGATTTCACAGCGGGGCTTCCATGGAGCACAGGCTTGAGCTGATTTCGGGAAGAAATACCAAAGACTCACGTGTGCACCATTCCCTGCCACTCCAAAATATACGTAGGGACAAATTGCGCCACGCGCTCCTATCCGATTATGGGTGGCGTCGCAATAAGGACCGTCTCAACCATCAGTGAACTCTACTTCAACCCTCGGTCGGTTGCTTCTCAGCGTTTCTGCGTGCTGCGACCCCGACTGCCTCGAGCTTTGGCTGTATTGGCTTAGAATCTCAGTGACGCCTTAGTCTTCAGCTTGCACTGCTCCAGCCATGTCGGATTTTGCCAGCGTCGACCCCAAACAGTGAGAAACCATGTGAGCCCAGAAGCCCAAAAGCGATGACATGTTCGCACTTGGCTTAGCCGTGGCTTTTGGGGAACCCAAAGAAATTACAAAAGCGGCGACAGCCTCGCTTTGTTGGCGGAAGACGTACCAAAGCGACGACATGTTCGGATTTGCGACGACCGATTGGCATTTGGAAACTCAGACCAAATCGAAGACGACTTCGCATTTGCAGAACACGGACGCGACGACAGTTTCGAACTTGGGTGGTCGCAAATCGACAACATGTTCGCACTGGCGACGACCGATAATTTCGCCGTTGCGACCACAGTTTCGAACTTGAAAAACACAGGTGTCCCACAAAGCGACGACATGTTCGGATTAGGGACGACCGTTTGGCATTTGGACACACAGACGCCCAAAGCGACGACAACTTCGCATTTGCGGAACTCAGACGTTCAAAAATCGACGCCCGTTTCGAACTTGGGCCACACAGGTGTCACAAAGCAAAGACATGGGCGGCTTAGGGACGATGGTCTGGCATTTGGGAATCCGGACATCCAAAGCCACGACAACTACGCATTTGTGGGACACGGATGCGCAAAAGCGACAACAGCTTCATTTGCGGAACTCACGTACCAAAGCGACGACAGCTTCGCATAAGCAAAACTGACGACAGCTTCACATAAATTTCGTGAATCCAGAAGCGAAAAGGCGATAGTTTTGGAGGACAGCGAGCCACAGCTGCACCTAGGCGAGCTCGCGACTTTCACGAAAGCTCCTTGGAGCGTGCGCGAACGTTTACAACCTTTCTAGTATTCAGGTGCAGGCTAAGGGCTGGGGGGGGGGGGGGGGGGGGGGGGGGGGGCCACCCCACAATCTTTTGCGAAGATGCAACGCGAACCCATGCAACTCAGGCGTAGTTTTTGCTGTTTAGCCTGCCGGCGCCCTAGCCTCATCGATACAAGTGTGAAAGGTCATGAAAAAACACAAGTTCGAAAAACATAGGCAGGCAGCGCGCAAGAACAGCACCGTGAACAATTATCGTAACAACAAACCCACGAAATTCGTTCTCAGAATAGCAGTGTACGGTTTCTGGCAAAGGAAAGCAGTGATTTGCGTCCAGGATTGGCTTGGTGTACGTTTTTTCGTACGTATCCTAGATCCATGAGCAAACCACATTGTAAAACATAGGCAAGCAGCATGCAAAAAAAACACATCAACGTGGAAGCAAAAAGTAACAATGCAAATCCAAATGGAAGACAAAAAAGGACGTAGAAAATTTTGGGCATGTGCATCTTAACACCTTGATTTGACAATATACACGTTTCCACGAGCTTTTGATAGGAAGACAACAAACGCAAAGAAAAGAGACCTAAAGGTCCCGGCTATATAGTATCGTAGTGTAATATACCATTACTAGTAGCTTTAGCATTGGTGTTGGCATTAATATTGGTCTTGGTGCTGGTACCTAGTGTACTACGTGTGTGGGCCCACGTGTTTGTATAAGTGGATTCACTTGGTTGCACAACTCATTACTTTTATCGGTTGCCTAGTGACTAGATGGTTTCTCATTCTTCTAATGTGCTGTCAGCCACATAGCTCTCTGCACCATGTGCTTGCAAAAGCAAAACTACTTAGTTCTTAATGTACGGTTGCCCAGTTCTTTCACGGCTTTCTCATT